AGTGGCTCACATCTGTAATCCCAGCACTTTGGGAGGCTGAGGCCAGTGGATCACCCGAGGTCAGGTGTTCAAGACCAGCCTGGCCAACATGGTGAAACCCTGTCTCTACTAAAAATACAAAAATTAGCCAGGTGTGGTGGTGCATACCTGTAATCTCAGCTACTTGGGAGGCTAAGGCTTGAGAATCATTTGAACTCAGGAGGCAGAGGCTGCAGTGAGCTGAGATTGCGCCACTCCAGCCTGGGGAACAGAGTGAGACTCCGTCTCAAAAAAAAGAAAAAAGAAACCCTGCTGGTTTTCTAAAGTAGTTGTGCCATTTTACATTCTGGCCAGCAGTGCATGAGAGTTCCAGTTTCTCTACATCTTTGCAAACATTTGGTATTGCCAGTCTTTTAAATTGTAGACATTCTTTTTAGTGGGTGGTGATGGGAGTACAGGGTCTCACTGTATCACCCGGACTAGAGTATAGTCCTGCCATCATAGCTTACTACAGCCTTTACCTCCCAGGCTAAATAGTGATCCTCCCACCTTAGCCTCTTAAGTAACTGGGATTACAGGTGTGTACAACCACATCCAGCTAATTTTTTTTTTTTTTTGAGACAGAGTCTCGCTCTGTCACCCAGGCTGGAGTGTAGTGGCGTGATCTCAGCTCACTGCAACCTCCACCTCCTGGGCTCAAGCAATTCTCCTGCCTCCCTCCCAAGTAACTGGGACTACAGGTTCCCACCACCACACCTGGCAAATTTTTGTATTTTTAGTAGAGGTGGGGTTTCACCATATTGGTCAGGCTGGTCTTGAACTCCTGACCTCAGGTGATCCGCCTGCCTCAACCCCCCCAAAGTGCTGGGATTACAGGTGTGAGCCACCGCACCCAACCCATTCAGGTTTTTTTATTTTTATTTTTTTTATTTTTTCTTCTTTTTGCACCGATGTCATCCGCCATTTGGTGATTTATCAGAGAAGAAGCCATCCAGCTGATTTTTTAAATTTTTTGTAGAAATGGAGTCTTGCTGTGTAGCCCAAGCTTGTCTTGAACTCCTGGCCTCAAGCAGTCCTCCCACCTTAGCCTCCAAGTGCTGGGATTACAGGCATGAGCCACCATGCCCAGCCTAGATTTATAATTACTATTTTATGCTTTTCTCTGTTAAATAAGAAAAAAGGAGGAGGCTAGATGTGATGGCTCTTACCTGTAATCTCAGCACTTTGGGAGACCGAGGCAGAAGGATCATTTTGGCACAGTGGTGCTTCTCTGCAGTCCCAGCTACTCAGGAGGCTGATGTAGGAGCATTGCTTAGGTCCAGGAGTAAGGCTGTGACCTGTGATCATGCAACTGCACTACAGCCTGGGTAACAGAATGAGACTCTGTGTTTTTTTTTTTTTAAAAAAGGAGTTACAAACCAAAAATACAGTAATAGTGGCTTTTATATCTACCTAAGTAGGCTTTTCGCTTCTACTTATTGTCTGATGTCCTTTGATGGACTCCCTTTAGCATTTCTTGTAGGGAATATCAGGTTTTTTTTTTTTTTTTTTTTTTTTGTTTTTTGTTTTTTTTTTTTTTTTTTTGAGACAGAGCCTTGCTCTGTTGCCCTGGCTGGAGAGCAGTGGCATGATCTCGGCACACTGTGACCTCTGCCTCCTGGGTTCAAGCCATTTTCCTGCCTCAGCCTGCCAAGTAGCTGGGATTACAGGTACCTGCCACCATGCCTGGCTAATTTTTGTATTTTTAGTAGAGATGGGGTTTTGCCATGTTGACCAGGCTGGTCTTGAACTACTGACCTTGGGTGATCCACCTGCCTCAGCCTCCCAAAGTATTGGGATTACAGGCGTGAGCAAACATACCCAATCTCAGTTTTTGTTTATCTGGAAATACCTTAATTTCTACCTCATTAGTTTAGGATAATTTTCCTTGCTATAGAATTTTTGGTTAACAGTTGTTGTTGTTTTTCAGCGTTTTAAGTATGTTATACCTCTGCCTCTGGCTTCCATGTTTTCTGTTAAGAAATTGGCTGTTAATCTTATTGAAGATCTCATGTATGTTTCAGGTCTCTTCTCTAGCTGTCAAGATTCTCTCTTCATCTTAGGCTTTTGACAGTTTAATAGTAATGTGTCTCAATATGAAACTCCGAGTTTATCCTCCTTAGAATTCATCAAGCTTTTTGGATATTGGATATGTAGATTCATTTCTTGTTTTTTGTTTTTTTGAGTCTTAAGTCTCACTCTGTCACCCAGGCTGGAGTGCAGTGGCATGATCTCAGCTCTTGGCTCACTGCAACCTCCACTTCCCAGGTTCAAGCAATTCTCCTGCCTAAGCCTCCCAAGTAGCTGGGATTACAGGTGCCCGATTCCATGCCTACCTAATTTTTTTGTTTTTAGCAGAGGCAGGGTTTCACCATATCGGCCAGATTGCTCTCAAACCCCTGACCTCAAGTGATCTGCCTAAGCCTCTCAAACTGCTGGGATTACAGGTGTTAGCAATCATGCCTAGCCTAGATTTATTTATTTTACTAAATTTGGGGGGTTTTGGCCAGGAGTGGTGGTTCATGCCTGTAATCCCAGTACTTTGGGAGGCTGAGGCAAGTGGATCACCCAAGGTCAGTAGTTCAAGACCAGTCTGGTCAACATGGCAAAACCCTGTCTCTACTAAAAATACAAAACTTAGCCAGGAATGGTGGCAGGTACCTGTATTCCCAGCTACTTGGCAGGCTGAGGCAGGAAAATCACTGGAACCCAGGAGGCAGAGGTTGCAGTGAGCCGAGATCGTGCCACTGCACTCTAGCCTGGAAGACAGGGCAAGACCCTGTGTCAAAAAATAAATTAATTAATTAAATAAAATAAGATTGGGAAGTTTTGAGCCATTATGACTTTCAATATTCTTCCTTTCTCTTTCTTTCTTCTCTGATTTTGGGACTCACATTATGTATATTTGGTATGACTCATGGTGTCTCTTTTAGGCTCTGTTCATTTTTCTTTATTCTTTTGGTTTCTGCTCCTCCGTCTGGGTAATTTTATTCTCCCTATCTTCAAGGTTACTGATTCTTTCTTCTCTCTGCTTATATCTGCTGTTGAACCAATCTAGTGAATATTTTAATTTTACTTTTTGATTTTTCAACTCCAAAGTGTCTTTTTGATCCCTTTTAATAATTTCTATCTCTTTATTGCTAGTCTCCACTTACTGAGATACTGTTTGTTTTCCTAATGTTCTTTAGTTCTTTGTCCATGGTTTCCTTAATTTGTTCCTTAATTAAATATTTAATTTAAAGTAGTTCATTTAAAGTCTTTGTCTCATAATTTTAATGTGTGCACTTTCTCAGAGATCCTTTCTGTTAATTTCTTTTTTTCCTATGAATGGGCCATGTTTTTTGGGTTTTTTTGTGTGTGTGTGCCTTGTAATTTATTGTTTAAAACTAGATATTTTGAATATTATGATAGTCAGAAAAGAAAATAAATAGAATAAAGAAAATACTCTCCAGGTCTTTGTAGATTTACTCTGTTTTGGACTCCTCCTTTTCCACTTACCTAGGCCTTTTACAACTCTGCCTCAAACTTCATCACCTGGGTAGTGCTGAGCCTAAAGACCACAGGTTGAAAAAGCTATGGTCTTCTCAGGGCTTTTCTGATCATGTCTCCTGCTTTGTACATATGCTTGGTTTTCTTGGTTCTCTAGTATATGTGGGAGCTTTAAAAAACCCTTACTCCCCAAAGCCATTGTGTAGGTATGAGCATACCCCTGGAAAGAACATTATTAAATTTCCTGTGGTTTAGGGTCCAGATTTGTTTGTTGCAGAATACAGGTTATTAGGAAACATTTAAAATGTTGCCAAGATTGCTAACAAGAATTTTAGCATAAAATATGCTTCGCAGATAAAATGCTTAGATTAAGAATTATATGGGTTATACTTACACTGAAATATTATTTGTTGTTTATCTGAAATTCAAGTTGAAGTGAGTATCTTATATTTATTTGCTAAATCTGGCAACCCTAGCCCAAAACCATATTTTAGAAAGTAAAGGTACAGGAAATGTAAGTATCAGAGCAGGCACAAAGCTTAAAGCTTAATTAAAACAAGTCTGAAGGGATTATAGATGACAGTCTACCAAAGTATCCAAAGTCTGTTTTTAAAAAGGGAGTTAAAACTAGCTTTCCCCAAAAGGGAGACTATTGTTAATTGCTAATGTATAGGAGTACTACAGAATGCGACTGTTTTTGATACTACTGTTGCGGAGTTAGTTTAAAGAAGACATGTCTGTAAATTTTAAGGTTGGAATGAGGCACTCTTTTTTTTTTTTTTTCTTTTAAGGCAGAGTCTTACTCTGTCACCCAGGCTGGAGTGCAGTGGCACAATCTTGGCTCACTGCAACCTCTGCCTTCCAGGTTTAAGCAATTCCCCTGCCTCAGCCTCCCAAGTAGCTGGGACTACAGGTGCACACCACCATGCTGGCTAATTTTTTTATGTTTTTAGTAGAGATGAGGTTTCACTATGTTGGCCAAACCGGTCTCAAACTCCTGACCTCAGGTGATCAGCCTCCCTCAGCCTCCCAAAGTGCTAGGATTATAGTTGTGAGCCACTGTGCCCAGCCAAGCACTCTTAATGGAGGGAAAAGGAGAAAAGCTCACCTAGAGATAGAAGATAGCCAAATGCCCCAAATTCCATCAAACTCAAAACTTATTTTTGAGGTGGAATTAGTGGCTATTGATTGAAATAACAGAACTGTGAATGAACAACAATGACAAACCTGCGGCCTTGAAAAAACATCTGTGACTTATTGTTGCTTACTCTTGTGAATAATTCTTCAGGGAGTTAAATTAAATCTTGCTTGCTTACTTGTTCTTTGCCTTTTAAGAATGTGTTCCTTTACAAATCCTTGAAGCCTAAAATATGTTATTATATGTAAAATACTGGTTAGGGAAATTGATTTTTCTTTTACCTCATGTTGTGAACTGAAAAGCTCGATACTTTTTTTTTAAAGACACACCGTTTGACATGTACTTTGTCTTACAGGCAGTGAGGTCACTCAAGGAGACAATCGAAGACTGTTGGGACCAGGATGCAGAGGCTCGGCTTACTGCACAGTGTGCTGAGGAAAGGATGGCTGAACTTATGATGATTTGGGAAAGAAACAAATCTGTGAGCCCAACAGTCAATCCAATGTCTACTGCTATGCAGAATGAACGGTAAGACCCTAAGAGGTGTGGCACCTATCAATCAGTATTAGAAACTGAGACCCAACAAAGAATAGAAAACAAATACTGTTAAATCAGCCTAATGGTTCAATGATTACCTCATACAATCTAAAGTTATCATTTGTCTTTCAATATTCCTATTCTTTACTGAACATTTTTGTTTGGTACAAGTACAAAATGAAATCTGCATTTTTTTATATGTAAAAATATAGTGAAAGATGTTAGTATTTCTCTATGGTCCAACTTTCCTGCAATAATAAAGGTAAAATGTTTTAATAACCAAAAGTTCATAAGCACTTCTATATAAATTGTCTCATTTATCCTTTGTTGTTATGATTCCTTCCTCCTCTGCTTTTTTCCTTAAGTCAATAGAACTGTGAACTTGCCTATCTAACCACTGTCACTGATGCTACAGTTTCTAGACTTCCTATCTAATGCTCTTTCTTTTAGAATACACTATTACTACATGAAGGCAGTTCAAAGGTCTTTCTGTTCCATCATGAATATTATTTTATAAGACATTTCCTTTATTAGAACTATGATTTTTGGTTTTACATAAAGAGACTTTTTAAAAATTCCTACAATTTGGAACTTTCTATGTATTTCTTTGTTCCATGTTTGGGGGAAAAAAAGCCTTTTTATGACTTTGTCATTTTGTTTAATACATGTTTAAAACTTTCAGAAAGGCATCCAGGAAAGCGGTACTTGTGAAAATTGAAATAAAAATATACTTGATTCTTGAAACTTTTTTGGGGAGGGACACTGAGTCTTACTCTGTCACTCAGGCTGGAGTGCAGTGGCGCAATCCTGGCTCACTGCAACCTCCCCCTCCCGGGTTCAAGAGATTCTCCTGCTTCAGCCTCCCCAGTAGCTAGGATTATAGGCATGAGCCACCTAATTACAGGCCCAACTAATTTTGTGTATTTAGTTATACACAAAATGGGATGGGATTTCACCATGTTAGCCAGGCTGATCGTGAACTCCTGACCTCTGGTGATCCGCCCGCCTTGGCCTCTTAAAGTGCTGGCGTGAGCCACCGTGCCTGGCTGTGAGCCACTGTGCCTGGCCTATTTTCTGTTTTTCTAATTTGTGAAAGCTATTTATATTAGCCATAGGTCAAAAATGTTGTTTGTACTACTTTTGTATAGGTTAAATTAGTTTCAGATATAAACTCTTATACCTTATATATCAGCAAGTCAGGGAAGGTAGACACTGGCAATTCTAATCGTAAGTTTTCTCACTTTAGACATACCTGAGGACAGTATTCTGTTTTCATCTCCCCTCATCTCTGTATTTCCCATGTCCTCTAGTGTGCTGTTTATACCTTTCTCAAAAGTCAGCTAAAGCTTTTACTTTGAATGCTTTCAAACTTTTCTTTAATGGTAAGAAAAGAAACCCTTAATGCCCCACGTTGATTTGGCCATTTTTTTGCATCCCGTGTCATTCAGCTCGACCTTCTCCATGCATCTTCTCACCTCCAGTCTCTACTAATGATTTCCCATAGTTACTCTAACTCTACATTTTATTTTACTGAATCTTACCCTCCATGTCTCCTTAGCTTTCTTTTCTTGTACTGTTTAACAACTTTTTCTTCTTTTCCTCCTGTCATCTCCCTTATAAATAACTGTCACTCCCAAGGAATGACAATGACAATGAAAAACCCATGATAATTAGAGAGCAGTTCTGAATCTTTGATCCTTTATTTGAACATCACATTCTTCCTTATACTTTAGGCTCAAGAACTTTTGCTGAAATGTCTCAGACTACCCCAGAAAGATATGTGTGCCATTGCTAGGGCATGCCTCTTAATGGAGGCCTTTGGAACAACCTAAAAGCTTATATTCTTTTTACCATCTGGCCATTGGAATGTAATTGACAACATACCTTTTGAGTAGGTACTATGCATCTGGAATTATGGAAGTAAAAAAGAAATATATGCCATGGTTCTTCCCTCATAAAACATAATGTCTTGTTGGACGAATATACAGTTCATAAATAGATATTTTGTGATGTTATAAAACTATAGGAGAGATTTTTAAATTAATTCTTATAAACCAAAATAATGGACATTTATAAAAATCATACCTGATTCACATAAATTTTTCAGTAGGCTTAATTCATCTAAAACACTTATCAAGTTATTAATTGATACTTGATTATTTGATTAGACTTTTTAACTAACCTTTAGAAAAATATATGTTTGGAAGAAAATGAAAAACAGCTCAGACTTTAAAATCAGAGATGTTAAACTTGGAGAGACAGTTTGTCATAAATGTCTGTTCTCAATGTGACACTTTTTTTTCTTTCTTTAAGCAACCTGTCACATAATAGGCGTGTGCCAAAAATTGGTCCTTATCCAGATTATTCTTCCTCCTCATACATTGAAGACTCTATCCATCACACTGACAGCATTGTGAAGAATATTTCCTCTGAGCATTCTATGTCCAGCACACCTTTGACTATAGGGGAAAAGAACCGAAATTCAATTAACTATGAACGACAGCAAGCACAAGCTCGAATCCCAAGCCCTGAAACAAGTGTCACCAGCCTCTCCACCAACACAACAACCACAAACACCACAGGCCTCACTCCAAGTACTGGCATGACCACTATATCTGAGATGCCATACCCAGATGAAACAAATCTGCATGCCACAAATGTTGCACAATCAATTGGGCCAACCCCTGTCTGCTTACAGCTGACAGAAGAAGACTTGGAGACCAACAAACTAGACCCAAAAGAAGTTGATAAGAACCTCAAGGAAAGCTCTGATGAGAATCTGATGGAGCACTCTCTTAAACAGTTCAGTGGGCCAGACCCACTGAGCAGTACTAGTTCTAGCCTGCTTTATCCACTCATAAAACTTGCAGTAGAAGCAACTGGACAGCAGGACTTCACGCAGGCTGCAAATGGCCAAGCATGTTTAATTCCTGATGTTCTGCCTACTCAGATCTATCCTCTCCCCAAGCAACAGAACCTTCCCAAGAGACCTACTAGTTTGCCTTTAAACACCAAAAATTCAACAAAGGAGCCCCGGTTAAAATTTGGCAGCAAGCACAAATCAAACTTGAAACAAGTAGAAACTGGAGTTGCAAAGATGAATACAATCAATGCAGCAGAACCTCATGTGGTGACAGTCACCATGAATGGTGTGGCAGGTAGAAACCACAGTGTTAACTCCCATGCTGCTACAACCCAATATGCCAATGGGACAGTACCGTCTGGCCAACCAACCAACATAGTGACACATAGGGCCCAAGAAATGCTGCAGAATCAGTTTATCAGTGAGGATACCCGGCTGAATATTAATTCCAGTCCTGATGAGCATGAGCCTTTACTGAGACGAGAGCAACAAGCTGGCCATGATGAAGGTGTTCTGGATCGTCTTGTGGACAGGAGGGAACGGCCACTAGAAGGTGGCCGAACTAATTCCAATAACAACAACAGCAATCCATGTTCAGAACAAGATGTTCTTACACAGGGTGTTCCAAGCACAGTAGCAGATCCTGGGCCATCAAAGCCCAGAAGAGCACAGAGGCCTAATTCTCTGGATCTTTCAGCCACAAATGTCCTGGATGGCGGCAGTATACAGAGTAAGTGGAGGGATCATATAATCTCTCCTATGTGTCTCTTGGGGCCATTTAAATAACTACTTAGAATCAACTCAGTAGATATATTTCAACTAATGATTATTTACCTTTACCACTTTTGTAAATAAGCCATTTGAGGCTGGGCGAAGTGGCTAGTATCTGTAATCCTAGCACTTTGGGAGGCCGAAGCAGGTGGATTACCTGAGGTCAGGAGTTCAAGACCAGCACGACCAACATGGCAAAACCCCATCTCTACTAAAAAATACAAAAATTAATCCAGGCACAGTGGCTCACGCCTATAATCCTAGCACTTTGGGAGGCCAAGGTGGGCAGATTACTTGAGGTCAGGAGTTCAAGACCAGCCTGGCCAACATGGTGAAACCCCATCTCTACAAAAATGCAAAAATTAGCTGAGCATGGTGGCATGTGCCTGTAATCCCAGCCGCGATCATGACACTTGACTGTAGCCTGGGCAAAAGAGCGAAACTCCACCTCAAAAATGAAATAAAATAAGACATTTGGTTGGGCCTCAAAGGTAATTAAACTGTTTTAAAGAAAAAAGTAATATTTTTTGTCATTGATAATTAAAAATTCAGTATCTCAATAGTCAGAATAATTACCAATTTAATATGTGCTTTATGTGGCTGCTGCTTTAATAATGCAGCTCACATACTTGCTATAAAAGTTGAAATTAAGTAAGTACTAGTTCAAGAGCTCCAAGTAATTTTATGCCAGTATAACCCTTGAAACAGTTTATTGCACATATTAATATCGATTATGTCTGCATTTAGATTTTATCAAACTAAACTTAATAAATCTTAAAGGTCCAGAGAAATTTCAGAAAAATTACTATAAAGAAACTGTAGCTGGGCACAGTGGCTCACACCTATAACTCCAGTGCTTTGGAAGACCGAGGTGGGTGGATCACTTGAGGCCCGGAGTTCAAGACTAGCCTGGGCAGCATAGCAAAACCGCATCTCTACAAAAAATTTAAAAATTAGTTGGGTGTGGTAGTGCATGCCAATAGTCCTAGCTACTTGGGAGGCGGAGGCAGGAAGATCACTTTAGCCTAAGTGTTCAAGGGTATAGTGAGACATAATTACACCACTATACTTCAGCCTGGACAAGAGAGTGAGACTCTGAAAAAACAAACAAACAAAAGCTGTAAGATTCTTCCTGGTTTCTTAGTATTATCTTTTTCAAGAGGTGTGTGTTGAATCTCTCACATACCTTTACTTTTTTTTTTTTTTTTTTTTTTTTTTTTTGAGACAGAGTCTCACTGTTGCCCAGGCTGGAGTGCAGTGGCAAGATCATGGCTCACTGCAGCCTCAACCTCCTGGGCTCAGGTCATCCTCCCACCTCAGCCTCCCAAGTAGCTGAAACTCCATACTTTACTATGATACTATGAGCCCCATAGCATCTTAAACAAATAATTTTAAACTGATACTTGGTTTCTTGCCTTAAAGGGATTGCAGCACAAAACAGGAGAACTCACCAAAATCTGTAACAGTTATTGTTATACAAAATTATTTTTATTATTATTATTATTTTTGAGACAGAGTCTTGCTCTGTCTTCCAGGCTAAAGTGCAATGGCATGATCTCCGCTTACTGCAACCTTCACCTCCTGGGTTCAAGCAGTTCTCCTGCCTCAGCCTCCCAGCATGATCTCAGCTCACTGCAGCTTTCACCTCCTAGGTTCAAGCGGGTCTCCTGCCTCAGCCTCCCAAGTAGCTGGGATTACAGGCATGTACTACCACGCTCTGCTAATTTTTGTATTTTAGTAAAGGAGGGGTTTTGTCATGTTGTCCAGGCTGGTCTTGAATGCCTGGCCTCAGGTGATCCACCCATCCCAGCCTTCCACAGTGCTGGGATTACAGGCATGAGCCACCATACCTAGCCGTTTTCTCTTTTAGACTAAGGCATTTATGAAAAAAAGTTACGCTTTATGATTGACAAGGGCTACAAAATGGGCTGAAAGAAGGATACAGATCTCAAAAAACAATCAGTAAAATTTAGCCACTTGCTTACGTGGCTTATATTATAGATCAGTTGATATATTGCAGGGCTCTGAGTCAGTCTGACGTCAGACATAGGAAGAGGAAGTAACTAGAATATTTGTACTCTAATATTTCTGTTATTCTTCTGAAAAATACTGTATGCCAGGTGTCTTTAAAATTTGATCCAGGCCAGGCATGGTGGCTGACACCTGTAATCCCAGCACTTAGGGAGGCTGAGGCGGGCAGATTGCTTGGGCTTGGTAGTTCAAGACCACCCTCAGCAACATGGCGAAATCCCCCTGTCTTTATTGAAATACAAAAAATTAGCCAGGCATGGTGGCATGTACCCGTCGTCCCAGCTACTTGAGAGGCTGAGGCACGAGAATCACTTGAGCCCAGGAGGTGGAGGTTACAGTGAGTCAAGATCATACCACTGCACTCCAGCCTGAGCTACCAAAAAAAAAAAAAAAAAAAAAATTGATCCACCTTGAGCATTAAATACAATGATTAAGTACACTTTACTAAAACCAGAAGATTTAAGAATACAGCTGAGAGCTTTAAATTTTCTTCCCTGTTTTTGTTTTTTATGTTTTTCCTTGTCCTATAGAATAAGTCAATCAGTTATTAAAACATTTGGCTTGAAGAGTCTCAAAAGTAAGTTGGTTAAGCTTTGCCTAGGAAAACATTGCCTAGCATTATGAATTTCAAGAAGTGATCATTAGCATCCTCCTCAGACATTGGTTTGACCTTTTCTTGAGTTACATCCCTCACCCTTTATTTCTTAAGTTTGTAATATAGTTCATTTTTCTGCACTTTTATTTTCAGTAGGTGAGTCAACACAAGATGGCAAATCAGGATCAGGTGAAAAGATCAAGAAACGTGTGAAAACTCCCTATTCTCTTAAGCGGTGGCGCCCCTCTACCTGGGTCATCTCCACTGAATCACTGGACTGTGAAGTCAACAACAATGGCAGTAACAGGGCAGTTCATTCCAAATCCAGCACTGCTGTTTACCTTGCAGAAGGAGGCACTGCTACAACCATGGTGTCTAAAGATATAGGAATGAACTGTCTGTGAAATGTTTTCAAGCCTATGGAGTAAAATTATTTTTTGCATCATTTAAACATGCAGAAGATGTTTTTTTAAAAAAAAAAAAAAAACTGCTTTATCCTCCTGTCACCACCCCCTCCCACCCCTGCAACAAGGACTTGCTTTAAATAGATTTCAGCTATGCAGAAAAATTTAGCTTATGCTTCCATATTTTTAAATTTTGTTTTTTAAGTTTTGCACTTTTGTTTAGTCTCGCTAAAGTTATATTTGTCTGTTACGACCACAGAGTTATATGTGTGTGTATCAAAAGTGGTCTCAAAATATTTTTTTAAGAAAAAAAGCAAAAACAATGTGTTGCTGATAATCAGTTTGGACCAGTTTCTTAAGGTCATTAAAACAGGAGCAAATTAAGACAGGTTTGACTACAGTGGTGTCTGGTATCCATGTTTTATTTCTGGGCACAAGCTAGTTTTTTATGTTGATATGTTCCTGAACGTGTTATCTGTTGGACATCTTTTCTCTTGTGTTTTGTTTGAATGTGCAATAGTTTATAGGCCACAAGTAAGCTTTCTTGTAAGCTCTCTTCCTAATAGGGCACATATTCTTCCATAATATAAGCATTTTTTCTGCCTCATCTCCCATACTTTTGTAGGTCAGTTCTATGACAGTGAATTTTGCACAGGAGAAGCAGCTACCTGATTTCTCACTTTCTCCCTCTTTGTCAAGGAGAATGCAGAAATATTGTCTTAAAGGGCTCTAAAGAAGGAACTACCGAAACCTGATTTTAAATGCCATTGCTTTTAACCTTCCAAATCCTAAATATTTTCTTCCAGGCATTTTAATAAACATATTTGCTTCTGGTTTTGGGAGTTCATAAAAGAGAATAGAACAAAATACAGGACATCAAATATTAGCCATTTCCCATTTTATTTTATTTTTCTATGTATGCTCATGTTCCATGTTCATTTATTTAAGAAATACATTTTTATTGGTAAGCTTATAGAGCTATACTTATGAAATTTTTAAGTAGGTAAATAAATGGTTAAGACAAAATAGTGTTATAGCCTTCATTCTCTGAATAGGTCATCTTTGACTCATAAAATTACACTTACTGTTTATTGTAACTTCAGAAGTAATTTATAGTTCTGAATCTATAGTATCACTTGCTATGTTCCTAAGCAAAGACTGGTGATTTTATCTGAAAATGATTCCTCTTCACATGACCTAAAACACTGTGTGGAAAAATCATTCAAGTGGCATGCCAAATCCCTATGGAAGGAATGGCTTCTGTCAAACCTACCTTTTTTGAGCAGACTGAGACTAAACTTCTCTTTTCAGAATTATGTGTTATCTTCTTTAATTCTATTTTCATAATTTTTCCTTTTGCCACATATCTTTGATATGTGAGCAACATTTATTATTTTGACTTGAAATCATTGTTTTTTAAAGCTTCTCTTGCTTCTTTAATTACTTACAATCTTCTCTACAGCAACCTCTACATGTTTTTTTTAAATAAAGCACTTTCTGTCAAATAAGGGACTTTTTTCTAAACACAAATTAATTTTCATCAATTTGTGAACAATGATTTCACTTAAAAAATTTTTTTTTAATTATCAGAGTAGTTAGTAAATGTCATATAGTTAAGTTCTAAGATATTTCCAGGGATTAAAAGGTTAAGAGGAAAACACAAATCACCAAATTTCTGATTTAGGTTTTTATCTCCTGAACAATATTTTTCACTATATTCCTCTATCTCATCACTTAGCTAAAGACAGCCTAAATTTCCCCATTTTCTGTCCAAAATACTTGTGATTTACTTGTATATAAGCCTTCTCATTTGCCATGTGCTGTGATCTTACAAGTTAGTTGTTCCTACACCTACCATTTATTCAGCTGGATTGCTGAGCACAGTTCTGGATTCTTAGAATTAAGATTATTTTATTAGTGCCCAGAATTTCCACATTTTGTGTTTTATTGGTCCTTATCTTGATTCAGATCCGTAACCAATTTTCAGTCTTCTGGCATATAATTTTTTTTCACAGTTATTATTCTTCTATTAACAAATTATTTATATCTTTTCCAGTACATTTTCACTTAGTTCTCTTGACCTTAAATATCTTTCATATGCATTTTAGGATATTCTTTTCAAATATTTGTACGACAACTTTGAATCAAAATAAATTATATTCCTTCTCCAATTTGAAGCATTGAGGATAAACGACCATTTGAGGCCTAACTGATCTTTTCCGTCCAGAAGAATTATCTTACATTCTGCTGTATTTGTATTTAGGCCAGTTGACAGTAGGTTTTCCAACATTTTCTATTTAGAAAATGATAACAAAATGCCTTAAAAAATTAATATGCCAGATTAAAATAACTGAATAGTTTACTGTTTCGTTCAAGCATGTTTAAAACAAATAATTTCCTTTCACCAGTTTTTCTTAGTAGACTCTTGAAAAGTAGGAAAAGTGGAAAGTATATATTATTTTAATAAATTTTAAATTAAATTATACGTCAGACTTAAAATCTGTAAGATACAAGCAAGCAAAATTATTTTAAATGACTTAATTACTTGCTAATATTCATCTGATAATAAATGTTTCTTAAAGTTGACGTTTAACTGCCATCACAAAATTTTACATGTACAAAAGTGGGTCCTTTTGAATAAAAGATTATTCAACTAAAAATATTAAAATTTATTTCACTAGATGATAATGTAACCTTAAAAGCATCATAATAGGTGAAGTCTAGTATTAGTTTCCTTAACAAAATTCTAACTGTATTCCAGAATTAGGTCATTGAAAGAACTTGATTTGAATTACGTTTAGACAAAAATGATTTAATTATAAATTGTTAAATCTTTCTAAATGCATAACCGGCAAAAAAGAAAAAAAAAACTGTTACCAGTGTAGGAAGTTATGAAAAGGCACATACTGAATGCTGAAGTATACGTATACTAGTTATTTTAACCTCAGAGCAACCATATGACTATTATAATTAATATTCCCATTTTACAGATGAGGAAACTGAAGCTAAGAGAAACTAAGTAATATGCCCAAGATCCATATCTTGGGCATATTACTTAGTAACAGACAAAGGTGGGATTTCAGTCTGGGTCTACCTCTCCACATTCTTTCATCCATACCACACTACCTACATGCCATATGACAGGATGTGTAATGGGCTAAGATTTATTTTAAAAATTTAGTCACTGTACTCTGGCATAATTGTTATTTGTATATAAGCCAAACCACATACTTTAATGATTTGAGAAGTTAGGCAAATATAAGGTATGTAGACATAATCTATGCTGATTGTTGCTTGAGAAATAATTGCTAATTCAAGACAAAACTTAATCCTCTGTCTCCCATCATGAATCTTAAAATCATTTCACTTCACTCATAACATTCTTATATTGCAGAACTAAAGGTAAAGTAAATTTCAAGGAAAAAGTGAAGATAGCTTTTGGGAACAGCGACTTTTCTCTAAATTGATTCTATAGCAGACTTGGGGGAATTAATTTAACACAAAATTTCAGTCTCATCAATCCTTTGAATCCATCTTCAAGACTTCTGCTTTTAATAAATTTAGAGAATTTACCAATCCATAGAACTAATTGAGTAGGATATAGAAAGGATACAAGGATAATGTCATTTTTTTTATAAAACAGTTTAGTATAGCATCTTTACATGTATCCAGTTTTTCCAGAAAATGTGCATTGGTTCTGAGTGTAAACTATTTAAAGAGAGAAAGGAACACTCAAGTAAGTGTGGGCTTCAGTGGGAATTATCACAAAAATTGCCAAGTATTTTTATTTAAATTATTTTCAAATTTGACTTCTACAGCCGAATGGAATTAGTAGGCTGTAGCTGTTATACTGAAATTTTCCAGTCTCTTTAAGTCTCTCCTGAAAATCATTTAAAATAGAAAAATATTTCAATGAACTTTTTATTCCCTTTTTCATATTTATGGACATGAATATTTTATTGGAGATCATTAAATCCTAGAATTTGAGAATATGTTTCTATTCAGCATTTTACAAAGTTATGTTGAACTTACTACCTGTTATGTGCAGGTTATTTATTATGTAACTATTCACAGATTGTTTCATATATTGCTTTATCTTCCCAGCTAACAACAACTTTTTTTTTTTTTTTTTTTGAGACAGAGTTTTGCTCTTGTTACCCAGGCTGGAGTGCAATGGCGCGATCTCGGCTCACCGCAACCTCCGCCTCCTGGGTTCAGGCAATTCTCCTGCCTCAGCCTCCTGAGTAACTGGGATTACAGGCACGCGCCACCATGCCCAGCTAATTTTTTGTGTTTTTAGTAGAGACGGGGTTTCACCATGTTGACCAGGATGGTCTCTTGACCTCGTGATCCACCCGCCTCGGTCTCCCAAAGTGCTGGGATTACAGGCGTGAGCCACCGCACCCGGCCTCACAGCTAACTTCTTAAAGTGAGAATCTGTACATACATGTTGGTTATCTAGACCAGTCATTCTAGAAATTGTGTAACCTCTCAGATAAACCCCAAGAGACTTTCAGAATGAGGTGTTTCAAATACACTGTTTACTGGCAATTTACTTTTCAACACATAAGGTTGCATTTTAACTTTTACATTATGAACTGTGCAAACTTTACCCAAATCTACCTTGCATGATTCCCTCCTAAATATATTCCTTGATTAAGTAAATCTGGCAAATCACTGTTTGAGCTAGTTACATCATCAAGAGAAGGCTTCTCTACAAATTTCCAAATTAACATACAAGAAAAGAGGAAATCACAGAGCATTTAAGTGTGCCTTCCCATTACTTTCCTTAAATCACCTCATAGTTTATGTCTGACTTAACTCTACACCTCAGTTATCTGATTGGTTGTCTGTGTCAGGAAGGTTTTCTTCATATCTATTCTGTCTCCTCTTTAATCTTAAATTATTTTCTTTTACGCAGTAGGACCCAAAAGAGAGCAGTTGGTCATCATCCCCAGTATTCTTAGTCTTCAGTATGCTTCAGGCTTCTCAATGAATACTGAAGCCTCAGTTCTATAGACAAAATGGCTTTAGATCTTTCTCTTCAGTCCTATTGTAATAACTTTATTTTTAAGAACATAAAATTATATTTTCTTTTACATTCAAATTCATGACTCCAGTTAAGTAACAGTTTGATAGTTTGATTGAATTGAGAGTTAAGATGTTTCTATTTGAAAATGGATTCAACCATCAGACTACCAGCAAATCAGCTCTTAATTTTTGTATTATCTAACATTTTCTATTGTGGAATTTTATGATTTTATATTCTCACTAGTTACAACTAAAAAGCCATGCATACAGAATTGTATATCATTTTGCCATTAAAATTTTTTAACTTATATTGCAGCAAGCTTAGTTTTATGATTGAGCCACAACATTTTACATATTTCTTTGTAT